ACACTAATTTATTCTATTATATATGTTATGTTGCTTGTCATAAAATATTATGCACAATATTTTTTTGTAATTTATGCATACAATTTTTTAATAGATATTAATACATGCAGTAAGTCTTTGTGCTACGATTCACATGAATTGTTGGTTTGTATTTTTAAAAAGAATAAAATAGAAATACGAGAGATTAATGTGCATCAATTGTATTTAGATTTTAGAAAAAAAAAATTAGGAAAAAAACACTTAAAATTATGTTGTATTAATAAAATACTTAAAAAAAAACTAAAATAGTCCAATACATATTTAAAAACTAGAATATTTTAATCTTTTTTAATGAGAATTAATTAAAATAATATAATTTTAATGTATTTTTCAATGTATTTTTCTGTTTAACTTTTTGCAACTACAATAGATAAACATTTTTCACATAATATAATATAGGATTTTTCTAATTTATGCCCTTGCACAAATTAATAGTATATTTATTACATATTTTTATCATTAATACATACAGTAAAAAAAAATTAACATTAATTTTACCGATTGCCAAAAGCTTGTTATTTTGTGGCCATAACATTATTTCGTGTGACAATTAACAAAAACTAACAGGAGTCATTAATGAGGGACTAATTTGCTCTGATTGTAAGGTTTAGGGGCTTGTTAGATTGATTTTTAATTTAGGAGATATATGCTAAAATAAGGTAAGTTTGTGGGCTTAAAAAATAATTTTGCCTAACTTGTTGAAATTTGAAATTGTTTGCCACAAATGAGTCATAGGAATTTTTTTTAAATAAAAAAATAATAATATACATGGATGCGTAGCAGGCTACATGAGTACATATATATATATATATATATATATATATATGCTTGCTCGTATTTTGTTGCCTGAACTCAGCAATTGAGGAAACTAATTTATAGTTACTCTTTGTCCTGGAAATTGGTCAAATCCCTTTCTGATTAGCATGTTAGTGATTTGATTTGAAATTCTTGCTAGGGATTGGGGGGCCTTCATATAGGAATGTCTTGCTTCCTGTGAGGCTATAAAGAAAGAAAAAAAATTAAAGATTGCTTGCTCAAGCAAATTATTCACGAAAGACTTAGAAGCAGAAATCTTCCTCTACTTATACCTAAGTCAATGTCAATGCTCCTTTTCACTTTAAAGACCCTAGCATTAGAATTCATAATGAGTCAATTAATACCAGTTTATATGTAAAAATGAAAACTTGTCTCAATGGTGGACAAACCTAATTGAGTTCTCATTAGGTCAAATTCAAATAATTTTTGTACAATGTATTTAGTTTTCGTTCTTTTTGACACTCTTGAGTTAAGCATGGATGTAAAAAACTTCATGAGCCACTTTTGGTCTGTATTCTCCAAAAAGATTTTTTTTTTTTTTTCATATGTTGCGAAGAAAAGGGGGTGGTTTTTCCTTCTATAATTAGTAATTACCTTAATTTGTTTGTATGAGGTATGGGCAATTGGCAGTGATGTCTCGCCTCAAAATTAATACCCTTTGGCTAAGCGGTTGTTGTAGTGTAGCTTTAGGTGTCGAATCCACAAGGAAGCTATATTAAATCAACAAAAAGAGTTGTCACAATGA